TTCAATGGGTACTTTTTAATTAATTAAATTCTTGATAAAGTAATTAAATTCTATAAAACGTTTTTGTTGGGAACAATTTTGTTTATTCAAAAATTATATATTCCAATAATAAATATAGGGAAAAGGGTCAAATATACCCTCAAACTATTGCTCAAAAGTCAATTAGGCCTTCCAACTTTTTTAAGAAGCAATTACACCTCTTAATAATGTATTTTGATGCAATGAAGCCCAAATACAGGTAAATGACCTGCTATCCCAGGTCATTACAAATCCGGCGACATTCCGGTATATTTTCAGGCAAAAAAGTGACCGGCGACAGAGACCCCTCCCGGAGAAGGCGTGATCTTCAACAGCAAACATCAAGCTCCGAAGCAATTAACTCTGCAAAACATTAATTAAAGCGCCTGCAATGGCTTCAAGTTGCCTTCAAAAGGCTCCAAGATCTTCAAAGTACCTACAAAAAGGCTTCAAGTTGCTTCAAGATCTTTAAAACCTGCAAAAAAATGCCTTTAATTCTTCAAGATCTTCAAATGCCTTCAAAAGAGCTCTCAAATCTTCAAGTCTTCAAGTTGTTAAGCGTTCTGCAATGCCTTCAAGCTCTCAAGTCTTCAAATTGTTCTCAATGTATTTAAGGTGTGATTTGAAGAATGGAATTGAGGCTCTATTTATAGTGAAGTTTGTAACTAAAATCCCTCAACAAACTCCACTAATTTTTATTAAATTAAATTAATTAATTATCTACTAAAATGAACCTTGCCAAAATCAAGTCTAGGTTCATTATTCTATCATCTAATTCAAATTCAAATTAAATTAAATTATAATTATCTAATTCAAATATAATAAAATCATATTATATTTAAATTATAATTATAATTATAATTCAATTATGAAATGAGCTTGGACCAATTAATTACTTAATTCAATAGCCCAAATCAAATTTACTTGGACTAATGATCAATCCTGAAATTAGGCTCGATAATAATTTAATCGGTCCACTTGTCGCCTTCAAATTTTCTGTGTCTACAAGTACATACAGATTTATACTAAATGAGTAAATGGATCCACATTCCATCCACTTTAAGTGGATATACGAATTTGATGGGAGCAAATTTTGCAGATTTGGTGAATTTGAGCAGATTTGCTGGATTCTTACTCACCCCTAATAACAAGGGATCAAAATCAACAAAATTAATTTTAGTATGTTATCTTTACATAATCATGGATTTAAATAAAACAAAATAATATAATTTACATAATACAATTATTTAAATTGGAAAATATAATAAATTTTTTGTTTAATATGCTATATATGTAATATGATTTTTTTTTGAAATATTTATGATTCTTTACAAGGTTGTATATGTTCTATGCTACGTAATATGATCAGTTAAACAATTAGTTATAAAACTTTTTATTAAATAAAAATGTTTAAATTAGAAAAAAAAAAATTTCAAGAATTTTCTATTATAGGACAAATATGTCCTTGTTATTAACTTGCTGATAATGAGAAGTTAATAAAATTTTCACTAATAAATTGATTAAATAGGAGGAAAAAAAAATCAAAATCATGCACTAATAGTAAAAGTTTTTGGGAATAAGGTTCAAATTGGCCACTGAACGTAACCTGAAAATGCAATTAGGTCACTGAACGAAAAAAAAAGTGCAATTAGGCCATTGAACACTCAAAAAATGTGCAATTAGGCCACTGAACTCTCCAAACGTATGTAATTTTACCGGATAGCATGTTACCATTAATTTTAGCATGTTACCTGCTTACGTGGCAGCTTAGTTGGCATTTTTAATAATTTTTAATAATAAATTTTATAAAAAATTAAATAAAAAATAAAATAAAGTCGTTTTTATTTTTTAAAAAAAAATTTTAATAAAAAGTTATTATTAAAATTTATTAAAAATTAATTAAAATTTATTAAAAATGCCAACTCAGCTGCCACATAAGCAGATAACCTGCTAAAATTGAGGGTAACCTGCTATCAGGTGAAATTGCACATTTTTGGAGTGTTCAGTGGCCTAATTGCACTTTTTTTTTTTGTTCAGTGGCCTAATTGCATTTTCAGGTTACGTTCAGTGACCAATTTGAACCTTATTCCAAGTTTTTGAAATTGTGCGTCATGAGTGGCAATGCGAGTATACTCATGGGATCTAAAATTTTATATACATAACAAAATTAGGGTGTGTTTGAAAACCTGATAAATGACTTTTAAAAAATATTTTTTGGAAAATGAGTCACTTTTCAGAAAACATTTTCCTTTTCCGTGTTTGGTTGCATTTCAAAAAATTGTCTTTTAGTGTGTTTGGATCATTTTCCAAAAAATAAGCAGAACTGTATTAAAAAAATCAATATTATTTATAAAAAATTAAAAAATAAAAAGAGAAATGCTTTCATAAAAAATAAACTGGTTTCCGACTTCAGAAACCATAAAAACTTTTGGTTTCCAACAGAAACTAGTAAATGGTTTTCGTTAGTAAAACTGGTTTCGATCTGGTTCTCGACGGAAACCAACGAAGAAGATGGAGAACATGAAAAGTTGCGTTGGATTTTCCGGAAAATGACTTCTCTTAGAAGTCATTTTCCGGAAAAAAAAAATGGACTTGTTTTCTCTTTGACTAGAGATCAATTTTTGTTGACCATCATTCTCCCCGACTAAACAATAGAAACCCGAAAAATGGTTTCTAGAAATCATTTTTCGGATATTTCAAAACACAACCTTACTTGGCATTATTTTTTTCTATACTATCACAACCTATTGAAGCACAAAGAGTCAACAGCGCCACCATTGAGGCTTGACCTTATAACCTCCCATATGAGAAAGTCACTACATGTCATCTTTTTTTTTTTTTTTTTTTTTTCTCCCATATGAGAAAGTGACTACATGTCATCTTTTTTTTTTTTTTTTTTCTTTTGATGTAAACCAGGTCCACCCGGTTCGCTCCGAGAGGCACAGAAGCTGGCTCAAAAAGAATCGTCACTTGTGGAAATCGAACCCAGGATATCCCGAAATTCTCCCCCACAAAAAGAGCTCATTTGCCACTTAAACTACACTATTGGGCTCACTACATGTCATCTAAACACAAAGTGCTTGTCAATTATACACAACATATATGATGCGGAGTATTTTACATTATATTAAGTACATGCATGGCTGCGTATTTTACAAAATTACCAAAATTATGAAATAATTAAATAGTTAATTTCCTATAACACGACGCATATCTTTGTCTAGAATTAATTAGTTAATTTTGTATGATATAATTGATATTATTTTTCACTGATATTTTTATTTGCTTTTTTTTGAACTGTCAAATTAATGTTACGTTTTCTGAATTAATTAGTTAGTTTCCAATAATAGGATTAATTGTTCTATGTATCTCTTTATATTATGCACTAATGCACGTACAATTAAGTAGCTAGTTTCCTATAATAAGATTGATTCATCTACTCTGATATTTTTAGAATCCTCAATATAATATTAATCTTTTCAGAAATCTCGAGATTATTGAGGTTAGTTTATGTTGACCTCTAAATTGAAGCCTGCAAGTTGAGACGTTGAAGTTGACCTCACCACTCATTTTGATTCCAGGAATCAAACCAGGTTTGACTTTTTTTTTTTCATTCAGGTATGCGTGGGGAATATGTTATGTTTGATTCCTTGGTAATTGATACGGAGTAATTCCCATTATTTCTTCCGTACAGTGAAAAAATAAATAAATAAAGCTTCACTAAACGATAAAAATATTTTCACTATTCAACATTCTATTAATTTAATGAGTCCTTTAATTCAGTAATATCAATGCGTGATTCAAGGTGGTAGAAACATATCGGAAAAGCAGTATTTTCTTGCCTGGTGAAGCTTAGCTCAATATGGTTCAAGTCTTCAAGAATTACCCTAAAATCTTGTTACAGCGACATGGTGGAGGTGCCCTTGAGAATTTGTATCACATTTTGTCCTTGACGATTAACATTTTCAAATTAGGTACATGACTATTCAATTTGTATCACAATTGGTTCTATCGTTAAATTTTCTAACCAAGTCACTAATGACGACTAATTTATTTAATTTTTATTTAAAAATTAATTTAATAATTTTTAAATTATTTTTTTTTTTTAAAAAAGGCCAGCCATCCTCACCCTCCTCCTTCGTCTCTGGCGAAGACGAAGGAAGAAATGAGGGCTCCCTTCCTCCTTCGTCTCTAGCGGAGACAAAGGAGGAAAGATGAGGAGGAGGGGGGGAGGGGGGGTGGCCTTCGTTTTTTATTTTTATTTTTATTTTTATTTTTAAGTTTTTTTTCTTAATTTAAAAATTTTTAAAATAATTTTTAAAATAAAAATTAAATAAATTAAACCGGTGATTTGACCGAAAAATTTAACGGCAGGACCAAATGTGGTACAAATTGAATGGTCACACACTTAATTTGAAAATGTTAATATTTAAGGATTAAAATTGATACATATATTATAGTCGAGGGACTAAAAATGATATTTTCTCAAGACAAATTAAACTTCCTTAATTCACTCTTCTTTAACCATTTAATTTGTTCCTCTTGTAAATCAACCGTCATAATTTCTTAGAGCATCCCCATCTATGCATTTTGGGTAGGTTTTTTAGAAAAGTAAACTTATGTGGAGGAGAGAAGGTGAGGAGAGAGGTAAAAAAAAAAAAAAAAAAAAAAAAAAAAAAAAAAAAATCCTTTCCTCCCTGCACTTGTTTTTTGGCAGACTTGTGGGACCCACCAAAATCACTTATTTTCGGCCCTCATCGCGTGAAGTGCACCCCAGTGCCCGACTATAATGACGCTTTTTTTTTTTTTTTTTTGGTTTTCAATTTTTTTTTTCCTTTTTCTTTTCCCTCATATCTTCTCTTTCCTAATCATACATGCAAAAACTCCTCAAAAACTACAACAATTGAGGATTCTCTGATCTAGTATTTATTGGTTTCATCTATATATCAGTGTCAGTTTTTTGCAGAAGCCTAGCAGTAGTAATGGAGATGCAGAATGGGTGGAAGTATGAGGCGATTGTGGCAAGAAGTTTTAGCAGGCAAGACAGAAAGACAATGGGATGGTGTGCTACTCTAATTGCCATCTTCATCCTCATTTTCACCTTCTGCATTTTCTACATCACTCCTAACAATCATCTTTGTATGTCCTTATTTACCATCATCCCACTCTCTACTTGCATCCAATATTGTGACACAAATTGTTTATATAGTATTTAATACAGGAAAAATTATATTTTTATCCTCCAGTTATATCCGTGGCACAGACTTAGTCTCTGAGTTATATATGTGGTCATATTTAACCCCTAAGTTATGTACAAAGTAACAATTTACTCCATTCAAGACCAGATTTTATTAACCACTTTATTAAGTGACATAATTGTTATAAAAACAGTCCCGAGTGAACTAAAATCGTCACTTTGAACATAAGTTAGGGGTTAAAAAGGGTCACACATATAATACTGGGGTTAAATATGTACCACGGGTAAAATTGAAGGACAAAAGTGTTTATATTCCCCAAAAATTTCCCGCCTTATTATTCCAGGGACCATGGTCTACACAATTGGTAGATCATAAATAAAAAGTACATTTTTAATATATTAAAAATACATTATTTGTGTACATAAAGTACATTATTTAAGTACTGAAAGTACATTATTTTGTATACTATTAAATAATGTACATTCAATACACAAATAATAATGTACTTAAATAGGGAAAATAGCATTTATATCCGTGGTACAGGTCTCAGAGTTATATGTGTGACCATTTTAACCCCTAAAAAGTTATGCATGGAGTGACGATTTTAGTCCTGAAATGACCAAATTAGTCACTTTAGGACTAAATTCGCCACTTGATGCATAAAAGAGAGTTATATGTGTGACCATCTTTAACCCTTAAGTTATGCATGGAGTGACAATTTTAGTCTTGAAAGGACCAAATTAGTCACTTTAGGACTAAAATCGCCACTTGATGCATAAAAGATGGTGGTTACACATATAACTCAAGACTAAATTTATACACGGTATAACTGAAGTACCATGGTCCACATAAAAATTTGTCGAAAATCTAATGAACTTAATTTTTTTTTTTTTTGAATGCTACTAGCTCTATTAGAGTTTCATATGTCTCCCTGAAGTTCAAACTCATAACCTCCCATATGAGAGTCCAACCCTAGTGGCATTAGACCATAAGGTCTTGGCTCTGACGAACCTAATTAATGTAGTGAAGTTGAGTAATCAAAATGTAATCTTTTTCAGGTTTCTTTAGAGATGAACCAAAACCAATTTGTGATCTGAAGCAGGAAAGATCAGAAACCTGCGAGGCGAGTGGCGACATAAGAGTTATCATCGGCAACTCATCCACCATTTTTGTCGTTTCCGACCTACATATTACCTCGTCGTGGACCATAAGACCCTACGCTCGAAAACGCGACCAATACGCATTGAAGAGGGTTCGAAACCTGACCATCGCGGAAGTGCCGCACCATTCCGACCAACGCATCCTCCCACGTTGCACCACAAACTACGATGTCCCGGCCGTCGTTTTCTCCACCGGAGGCTTCGCCGGAAACCTCTTCCACGACTTCACCGACCTCATCATCCCTCTCTACCTAACGTCCCGGGAGTTCGAGGGAGAAGTCCAGTTTCTGGTCACCGACAAAAGTCAAAGTTGGGTCGACAAGTTTAAGGAAGTGTTGCAAAGGTTGTCGAGATACGAAATCATCGACCTCGACGGCCGGGAAAAAGACGGCGAAAACGCCGTCCTTTGTTTTCCAAGTATCCTCGTCGGTTTAAAAGCCAACAAGGAGTTCAGCATCAACCCCTCTTCAGATCACATTTCCATGAAAAACTTCACTGCGTTCTTGAGAAACGCTTACAACCTGAAAAGGGACAATATTATCGCAAACGAGAAATTGCAGCCGCCGCCGCCGCCGCGGCTACTCGTGATAGCGAGGAACAAAACCAGGCGGCTGTTGAACGCCGGCGAGGTTTCGGCCATGGCGGAAGACCTAGGCTTTGAGGTTGTCGTACAAGAAACAGACGGGAATATGAGCAGAGTGTCGAGATTGGTGAACGGTTTCGACGTGATGGTGGGGGTGCACGGGGCGGGGCTATCGAACATGGTGTTCTTGCCGGAAAACGCAGTGGTGGTGCAGATCGTGGGGCTGGGGATGAATTGGGTGGCGAGGAATGACTTTGAACTGCCTTCAATGGACATGGGATTGAGGTACTTAGAATACAAAGTTGGTGAGAATGAGAGTAGTTTGAAGAACTCTAGCTCCATTGCTTTCAAAGGGTGGATAGCTTATACTCTTGCGTACTTAATTGGGCAGGATTTTATGGTTGATGTGAATAGGTTTAGAGGGACTCTGTTGAAAGCACTAGAGCTTTTGCATCCTGCTTAAAAAATTATCATTCTACCGTTCTTGTGATTATTATATTATTACTAGTATTTGCGCCCGTGCGATGCACGGAATAGATTTGTTGTAATATATTAAGAATATTTAGATTGATATATAATTATTGAAATTAGAACATCAAATATTATATAGTGCAATTGAAGATGTGATTCTAATCATTTATGTGTTTTGATGTTATCATTGCTTGAATTTGAGCAAATAATTGCTCAAATTAATAGCTAATATGTAGATATACGCATGCGGTGCTGTAATTTTGGAAATTTTATTTATCATCGTTTAGTATTTTTTTTTATAAATTTGGCAAATGTGCTCGTTCTCTAGCAACCCAGTTATAGCAATGAATTGCTATCTTAATTCATTTGTATATATGGAAGATATTTTTTTTTGTCTAGATATATAGCAATTTTGTCATTTAAAAAAATATAATATCACCGATTGTATTTACACATTATTGAAACCTCTTTGTAGACGACATTGGTAGTGCCAACACAATTTTGTCCATCCTCGTCTAGAGCTAACACCTTCCGTCCATCAGGACATGTTACTCGGTTGAAAATATATAGTGGTAGAATATTACTCAATTAATGATCCTTTTATATTTTTAGTCAATTATTAATATCATATTCATTTTCAACCAATTGTTCTTTTTTATTTTCATTCAATTAGAATATCAGATTCATTTTCAGCCAATTATTCTTTTTATTATTTTCAGTCAATTAGAATATTAAATGCAGTGATATTTTTACCTAATTTTCATTCAATTTTTAATTGATGATTTAGATATTATTATTGGAATATTTTTGTTTCATTTTTAATTTACATTTACTATTGTTTAAAATATGCATTTACTATTGATGTTGTAGAATACTATTATTAAAATATTTTCGTTTAATTTTCAATTTCTGCTTCATTTTTAATTATAATTCAATGATCTGACCATTTGTTTTTTTTAGTCAATTATGGATCATTAATATCAATTTTCTTTTATATTTTCAGTCAATTAGTCAATTAGAATATAGATGCAGTGATATTTTTACTATTGATAATGTAGACTATTATTATTGAAATATTTCCTTTTCATTTTTAATTTTTCTTTACTTGATGATGTAGAATATTATTATTGAAATATTTCCGTTCCATTTTTAATTTTCATTCTATTGTTTGAAAGTGTGAAACATTTATGATATAATTGTGATTTGATTTATTCTATTGTGTAATATTATTGTCAAAAATTAAAATGCAATAATTTGACAGTTTCTTTTTCCATTTTATTCAATTATGGATAATTTTTTTATTTTCAGTCAATTATTAATATTCATTTCATTTTCCAATGTATTATAATTATTAGTCAATTATACTAAAAGTGCGTTTGAAAATCCAAAAAAAAAAATGTAAGTATAATTTATTTTGTGCTAATAATGTTATACCTTAAGTATAAAAATATGTATATAGATTATCATAAAAATTACACAAAAGAAAGTGATGAGAATTACCATAAATAATTATTAAGCAATAATATTAATTATTAATTATTAAGACGTGCATAATTTATTTTGTACTAATATATATAATATTATTAGTACAAAATCAATTATACTTTATAATATTATAAGGTATAATATTATGACACGTATAATTGATATTGTACTAATAATATTATACCTTTTATATATATATATATATATATATATATATATATATATATATATATATCACCATAAAAGTATTATAATAGTTACACAGAATAGAATGATAATCCATTGTGTACCAATAATATTACACCTTTTAAATATAAAATAAAAATATTAGGCAATTCTGTTAATAAATAATTAATATTTTGATACATTAATTTTAGCTAGGAAATAATTAGGATGGAAATAATTATAATAAAATATTATGCAATATCAATGTCATCGAGAATATCAATGTCATGAAAATGAATTTTTGAGATCCAATTTTCAGTCTTGGGATCACTCATCCAAAAACATCCCTCTCCATGGCTTTCCCCTGACTTGCACCGCCCTCCCTCCTCTAATTTTCGGTGTGTTTTCTTTTCCATTAAGACACTTTTATATTTTCAATTAATTAATAATATCAGTTTCTTTTTTTAATTTACATTTAATATTGTTTGAGTGAGAATTTTACAAAGGATGATTTTTTTAATTTTTTAATAGTATAGATAGATTTAAATTTTAATTGTAAATAACATAAATAATTAGTATTAACATTATTATTGTTGTTATTATATACATATTAAATTTTAATTGTAAATAATATTTGTATCCAATAATAATAATAATATGGGTTTGATAGAAAGTAAAGTACGTAATGAAAACATTATTATTATTATTATTATTATTATTATTATTATTATTATTATTATTATTATTATTATGGTAATAACATCACGGTGAATATTTGTTGTTGACTAAAATGGGGTAACCATGTGATAATTGTCAAAATACCATATTACTCATTAGTCAATATAAACAAATATAGGTACTCAATATAAATACCATATTATGCAATATTATCAATTAATAGGTTTTACTTAATTTCCATTATACATTTGCTTATCAAATAAGATTTATTAATTATTCGACAAATAAAATATTTAATTAATTGGGTAAAAAAGTTTAGGCAAAAAATGAAGTAGGGGGATTTTTCATATATATATATATATATATATATATATATATATATATATTCATTAATATTAATATTCAAGAATTCAGATTCATTTCATTTTTATTTTTTAATCAATTATTAATATTCATTTCATTTTGTGCCTTTTAGTCAGTTTCAAAACATTTTAATTTTCAATCGATTATTAATAGTCATTTCCTATTTCAATTGGCATAAATTCTGTGTCGTTTTTATTCTCAGTTAATAATTATTTTTGTAATATTCTTTTAAATATTATTATTTCACCTATGAACATGCAAGTGTGGGTAAATGAATATTCAAAAGAATGTAAACCCATTAAATCTTTCAATTTAAACAAAATACATAAATTTAAAATTAAAATTTAAAATATAAAATCTATATGCTTATTCATGCAGTTTACTGAATATGTTTATTACTAATTAATTATTTTACCAATTGTATTATAAAATACCATACATATTATTACCAAATATGCTATTATGTTATTATCTAATTAATATTTTTTTGTACACGATTTTACAAATAGAATATTTAATTAATTGACTACAAAAATTTGAGCAAAAAAAAAAATGAAATAGGAAGATTTTGTATATATATATATATATATATATATATATATATATATATATATATATAAGGTATTATTTCTATAATTAAGGCATAATATTATTAAATCAAAATTATTTAAAATATATAGATCCACATTAAGAAAGATCTTATTAATTTCGGATATTAAAATTATATATTTATATTAAATGTGAAATTATAAATAATTAAGTTTCAATAAGTTTAGTTATTTCCTAAGTTATATATGGTTAGTAATGAATATTTTCTATATTAGATTATGCCTATATATGGTTTATCTGTATTAACCATCACTATATTAGATTAATATATAATTATTTTAATATAATATATAATTAAATCTAAACATATGGTTAATATTTATTCAATATTATTATGAATGTATTACAATTATAAATTTACAATTATAGCTTTGTATATGAAAAACATAGAAACTAAAATAGTTTAAATCAAAATTATTAAAAACAATGCATTTACAGTACAAAAAAAATTATTCTTGATTCAGTAATTAATTATTAATATAATTGTCTAATATAAATTTACAATTATTAATAATTATTTTTGGTAATTATTAGGCATTAAAAAAAATAAAAAGAATAATAAAAACATAAGAGGAAATATAGATGTCATACGATATCTTACATAAGGCAAATTGATATAAAATGTAACCTAGAATTATAGTAGGAATAGGAAAAGTAGGAAATAATATATTATATTAAGAATTGTATTATCATATTTTATTATACAATTGTTGTACAAAAAAGAATTTTATTTTTATTAATAGTATAGAAAATTTTAATTTCATTAGATTTTAAATAAATATTACCATAATTATATGTAGTAATTTGTCATATATAAATTTCTTACTTTAATAATATTTTTTATTACAAAGGAAGGGGATACCCATACAATCTATGCCTACACTGAGGCTCAAAACCTAGACCTCCCACATAGGGGAGCAATCCGATATCAGTAAACCACAAGCCACCAATTTACTTTAATAATATTAATCATATGATAATCTATTCTATTAATAAAAAACAAAATCCTTCGTGCATAACAGAAAGAGAACAATAAAAAAAACCATCAAATACTCAGTACTTAAAACACAACTCACAATATATTTTTTTTTAAAAAAAAAAAACATTGAATGGAACAAATAATCCATATTCTTATTTAGATTGCACAAACGCACATCCTCCAATTCAATTGGCCAAGGGGTCAGCATCCTTGCTAGCTAGCTAGCTAGCTGTATGACTGTATGAATGAAAATTACTTTAATTTAGACATCAAATCATATACTTATTATTTATCTCACACTAATCAACCAAAGCTTAATCAATTATATGTAATGTGTTTCACTCAATTACTTTAGACATCAAATCATATACTTATGTGTTTCACATTAATCAACAAATTAAAATTTTAATCAATTATATGCTATGTGTTTCTCTCAATTGGTACAGCTACATCAGCCCTATGTGTGACATAGTTACATAAATCTTATGAATATTTTGTTTAAATATAATTTATACTTTGATGTGGAGTAGATATTTAAATTAATAAAATCAAATACATTCAACGCAAACGTATAAAGATCAAACAGTTACCACTGATGTAATTTTATGAGGATCAAGTGCTTTACCACTATGTGAAAAGTTATAATTAGTGGCTTTATGGGCGGAGTCTTGTTGGCTTAGGATTAGTCCACCCGTATAACTCGTACCTCCACA